GTATCTAGAAGAGAGAGAGAAAATCGTCAATGGCATTTTGCCAGTATCGTTATTTTCAAGAAGATCAACGTTTTTTTTTAAGAAAGTTAGAAATCTATCAAGTAAATAGTGTTTTTTTAAGAAGAAAGAGTTACAAACCGAGTAAACCACTCATTGAACCAACAGCAGATGCAGCTGCTGCTTCCAGAAATAGCATATTTGCGTTCTGTTGCTGTCCTGTGCTGACCATATCTACAAAAATATGTTCATTAAAAAAGCTAAAAAATATGTACAATTCTTGACTATAAGTCCTCTCATTTGCATAAAATGCAAAAACGTATAAAAATTTGCATGCGGGTGTCGTCCTAGAAACACACATACAGAGATCAGACATTGCCCTACCAAAATTCATTTCCACTGGCATAAAAATGCAGAGATCCACGGTCTTTCATGCGTTTCTGCAAAAATCAGGCATGCAAAAATAGGAGAGAAAAGGAGAAACAGTGTATGTGTGAAAGTGAGTTACAACACAAACACTGTCGAAAATGAAAGAGAGGTGACGGCGAGGCATGACAAATATTCACATTCAAACAATTTCCAACACGCACAGACGAGGCAAAATCAAATCTCACTGTCAATATATGCACATACTACCCCCTTTCCATTCAAAATGGTCTAAAGTACCTCACAATTTGAGGGCCTCTCTTTGAAAGATCACAGGAAAGGCAACAACAAGGGGAGAGAGAAAACGACATACACACAGTCGGCTGAGAGATGCCAGATTTATGAGTTCATTTTACACGGATTCATAAATTTCGCAAAAATTCAAAATACGAAATTGCTGCCCTGTTTGAATTTATTCAAAATAGATATAAATACGAGAAATTATCATGCTTATTATGTCTCACTCTTTGTGGAGACTATATTCGAAAAATATTATAGGAATGGCAATCTCACCAGAAAGCAAAGGGAACATCAGACACGCTGACCAGCAGGCAATGTAGCACTGGTCAGAGCAAGTCGAAAAGTAGCCAACTGCAAAGTTAGCGAAAAAAAAAACCCTAAAATATACTGATTCAAGTATTTCAAGCGGATATATGAATCGCTTTTTGGATGACATAAAAGCCCATTTTAAAGTGCGGCCTCAAAAGTTA